AGTTGGCTTGGCTTCGCCTTCCAAATGGCTATCTCATACCAAAAATGTGAAGATGCTATTCAGATTAGGCCTGACTTGTATGGTCGCTTGGTTATGTTGTCGGACTGAGCTAGATGAACGTGCCTCTTTTATCAAAGTTATGACAATTTTCAAAGTCGGATCGTGGACTTTATACATTCCCAGACTACGCCAAAGCACTTCTGATAGGTTGCATTTATCTAGGTCGACCCGACAACCCAACCAAACTGCGGAAACGAGGTCTAATTACTTCTGTACTTGGTCCCATCCACCAAAGAATATTTCCTCATCCAGACTGAACTGGAGCTTCAACCTCATCTTCGTCTTCTCAGCCGTCTCAACTGCACACACAATCACACAACCAAACAACCGTACAATCACATGTTGGTGTCTGTGGTTTTCGTGTCAAGGCCGGCCTTCAAGGCAAATCAGGTATCGTTTAAATTGTATCGTGACATTTTCGGTATGAATAACAATAATGTCCAGTTTGCTTAAGGTCATTCTAGGACTGACAATTGAGTTTACCCACCAACCCACACACAATACCACTATAAATGTGATTGGAAATAGACACCCATGGCTGTGGATGGGAGAAGTAACTTAGCCACGATAATCACAACTCAACATCGAATCCCGTTGGAAGTGTTGATGAAATCCTGACGAGGTCATCCCTAGGCTCACTCATCTGGTTTCAAAAAATCTCAATTATAAGTAATTACACCACCTTAGTCAACCCAGATCACAAATTTATAATCATATTTTTTATCAGGCCATCTCTTGTTTGCCATCACACTCGAGGTAGTTACTTATATTCGATTTGAGTAGTTTTCGGGACCAGCAGTAATGCTTAAATGAAAGCTTGAGTGCCCCTTAAACCAAGACCAAATGAAATTCGAAGAAAAATAGGGTTGTCTAGGTACCTTTTAGATTATAGGTTGCTAAGACGAGGCTAAACCAATTCTCATTAGCGATATAAGTACTGCGATCAAATTAGAGGCAATTACATCTTGCTTTTCATATCCACAATTGCACTAAGGCTAAATACACTTAAATGGTATCACAAAGCCTACTAACTTTATTGTGGGAAACTCCAATTAACAACCAGGAATTTGTCTTTAGCAGCCTAGACAAACTCAAGATCTCATTCAAGCCGATCTGATAGTCACGTAAACCGCTCTTCTCGCAAATGTTATGCCCCTATTTTGCAAAGATTTATACCGCATATTGCTTAGACCATCCGCCTCGCATGTTTTCAACCAACCCAAACTGCAGGGCAAGAATACGTTAAGTAATAAATTAGTCAGTTTAGGTCGTCTAAGGTGATTTATGCACTGGTTTTTGACTTTTTTTAGCCACCAGATTAACAGACGTTGCGATGTCATTAAGTTTCACTTATTATTGCTTCTCAAAAGGCAATCTCATCCAGCATGGATAGTCTGGTTTGCTCTGAATGTTACATCTGTCCTGTCACTTTCCAGCACCCGTGGTAGCATTTTTGAACTACTCACGAACCGGTACCAAATTGCTCTTTAGGTGTGAGGTCGAAATTGTAGTTGGACCTGGAAAAATTCCACTGTCACTCTTTAAATCACCCAAATTTTATTCCAGAATTAGCGACAGTCTCAAAACCTACATTATTAAAAAAGATGTTTTCTTAAGGCTGCGTTACACCGCCTCGAGCATGTGAAAGAATCTGGCCAGTTGAGGTCGAACGGATGACTTAGCTCTAACGAGGAATAAAAGATCTGGCCCGAATCCCTTCGATTCCACGCCCTTTTGTCCGTCGACTCTGTCCGATTCGGTCGCCCAGCGGGATTCGGACTCAAGCGTCAGGGCCTTCCAAGGTTGGTTGGTGGATCCTCGAAATGTCTTTTTTATGTCTAAATGGCTATAAACTGACTTTTTTGGGCTCCAGCCTTGAGGCATTGCAATTGGTAATGCAAATCGTCCGATCTGTGCCTGTTATTGAGACCTGAAGATGAGACCTGCTAAAAAGATGCCTCTGTAGGTCAACAAAATTGTACATACTTGCTCTGCACCAAAAATGTTGGAGGGAACGAAAATCACATCAACCGGCAAACAAATGCCAATTTGGGTGGAAAAATGTAGAATCCCTTGAGGAGGCGGGCAGTTGAAGCCGCAACTCTGAACCGCCCGATTGGCCGCCGTCTGGCGATTGTCGTCATAACGACAATCATGACGACCTCGAGACCCGTTTTAGAATGCTGGCCCAATTATCATTTGCCTCTGGAAACCCGAATTCAAAATAAAATCGGTCTTTCCTTAACCGCCCTCTAAAATAGCATCCTGTTTTTATGATACAATTACTAATTACTACTATAATACTAATACGGTTGGTAGCAGTAATGAGAGTAGTAGGTATATTTGAAGGTACGGTTGACATGCATACGGCGGTATGAGCAGATTAGCACTCATTTGACCGAAACGAATTACAAGCAGGGTTTGGCCTGTGATGCAACATTGGAGTGGGCAGATTCCTTTTGGGTTTGTATCGGATAGAATCGGAGTTATTTCTAACTTTTAAATTCGTGTTTTGGCACAACTTGGTCATGACAATTAACTTTAACTGTTTGCTGGAAATGTGCACAACAGATTTGAAAATGGTCCTTGAAGTGGGGCGACCCAAAACCCAAAACCCCAAAACCCCAAAACCCCCTAAAGTGAATTACGCTGACTTGATTTTTATTCAAATGTTTTTTTTCAGTTAAACTTCACAATACTACTACTATATAATAGAGCAGTAGATTTCGGAATTATAAGTAGATCTCGACTAAGTGCTCGAGTCACGCAGGGTCAGGTAGACCGTTGATGAAGCGAAAGCTTCACGAGACTGTTTATTAAATTTAAATCATATTATAAAGCACAACAACAACAACACAACAACACAACTTTTTGGAATGCCTGACGCAAAAATCAAGCTCTCTTGTACTCGCTTCGTAGATATTGTTGCCATGGCTTCCTTAGCACTGTTCGTGGCACATGCAATTTATCAAATCGGATAACTTGTTTGTTTTGCCTAGGCGAGGGAAATACAATCACGAGATTAAATTGCGTTTTATCAAGTCACAAATATTTTCCGGTTCAGTTTGAGCATGAATTAACTTCCTCTTGTTTACACGTTGTTTGTTGTTTAGGCATAACTTCTGTCTTTCTGAAGGATGTAAAAAGGCTCAGTGATGACATGCTTCTGGGCGAAGTGAGGATCAGGATTGAGGACCAGGAGATGCCGATCTGTCTTGAAGACAATCTCCTCTCCTATTCCCAGTTCGCGATGGTCGTTTGCCGAATTCTCCAATTCGAGTACGTCAGTGAGCTAAATAATACAATTTTACCCACCTTCCCATACTTTACATCTCTCTCGAGATGAAACAAGACATACGAACACTCCACCATCCTCGAAAATACCAGTTCTACCAGCAACTGAACGCACGTACAGGTCGTCTGTCTGTCCTCCCGACCAGAGGCCACATAAAACCGCAGTCGAGACGGCCAGATTGAGGCGTACTCGAATGTGGACCGACAATCTGGAATGGAGCGGCCGAGAAAACGGAAAAAAAGACATACCATTTCACGAAGGGTTTAGGGCTTTGTGTCGAAGTGCTTGAAATGCGAATCAAGTGCTGTACTATGGCTTCAAGTTAGAGCAATTGCCTAGTTCTGGCAGGCTCCACAATACCAGGCTTCTATCGGAGGCTGAATTGGTTGAGAGTTGCTTTGCTGACTAAAAACATTACGAGTAGACTGGTCACGTGCATCGCACGTGAACAATGTGCAAGCATTTTTTTATAGATTGTTGCTAGGTCTTTGCGAGCAAATCTTTTTAGATGCCAAATATTTTCTCTATATCCAAACAGCTTGGCTACCATACGCCGAGAGTAGACCTTAACAAATAGACTAGATCAGAATAAAGCGAAAGGTTCAGGCTAAAAGCTAAAATGCTGTCAAAATTTGCCGAATTCAATTTCGAAATACAGCCCAATTAATTAATTAATTGAATTCCTCATTTCAGGGGCTTTCGTGGCTTCGCAGTGCCGATCAAAGATGCCAGCAGTTTATACGTTGGCTTGAATACAAATTGCCTCTCTAAATGCAAAAATATAGACATTTCCGACTGCATAACAGCCGCAAGACCGGTTTGCAAGAGTAATTCAATCCTAAATATTGTATGCAAGAATACAAGTGGTAGGTGCAACAAAAGATAATTTCATTAAACTACAATACTACTGAAAGAAATGCAAGTAATACATTTTTCATATATATTTTTTATAGAGCCTATAACTTCGGTATCCATTAATTGTCCTGCAGGTAAGTCGTTTCGCTTGTTGAATTTAGCATCAAAGCGTTTTAGATGCTTTTTAACTATGGGAAAATAAAAAATTATAGCAACAATTTAAAGGAACTAGGAGGGATAATATACAACTGAAGGGATAGACAAAGGAGCTGAGTTTCGAAGAATGCTTTGAGTTAGAGATTTTGGCACAATTTTCATTTCATTTAAAAAGGCGAGTGTGGATTAATGTCATCAGAAACTTGCGACAGCTTATCCTGCGACCAAAATGAGTCCATGTTGGGTTTTCTTCCGTACTGGTTGTTTGTCTCGTCCACGCCTCCTTATGATACTATAAACCGGCCTACTCTCGCTTGGTACCTCCTATGCATTGTTGTCAATTGGGGGGAACAATCTGTAACACAATATCACTTCTGGTAAAAATTATGATTTTCCTCGGTGTAGTCCTCGTTATTTGTGAAAGCATAATTTTGACATCTTCCATGCTGGCGGCTAATGGTATTTTGGACAGGTTTACAACTCTCTTCTCGTTTCGATGCTTGCTGCATATCTTTAAAAGGTCTGACTATAATATTAAAATTCATAAGTATCATACAGTAATTATTACCTACCCGATGCCATATTCTATCATATAATTTATCTGTCATTGATTGTAACTTTAGAAAGTCCTCCGAATTAAGAGCTTTGGACAGGGATAGCCTTAATCTGACACTTGTCCACATCAAAGATTGTAACTTTGAAATGTCTTCTAGCAAGTGGCTATTACTTTCTGGGTCTTGGAGTAAAGAGAAACTGGGTTTCGAAGAACCCCTTTATACATTGATGCCAATATATTGTTCACTTCGTATAAAGAGCACACGTGAAGGATTCATAAATTGACATCATCCGATACCAAAGGAGGTGTGCTTTAGACTTGCGTTTGTTGGATTATGCGATAAAGGCCCCGATGATCCGTGTTGAGCTTTCGTCTGTCCAGCCGTAACAGGCGAAAACTTCACAAAAATCTATTTATACCAAAGCATTTTCCTGCAACTACCGATTTGCCAGGCCAGGAAAAACTATGATAGTGTAGAAAGAAGGATTAAAACTCTTCCCTGTCGTGCTTTAGTTTTAAGAAACTTCAGGCCTCTCTGCAAATCGGGTTGTTATCAGACTTTGCGCTCATGCGGTGGTGTCTATGCTGGCGATGTTTGTCGACACATACAGAAGACGTTAATAACGTTAAATAAGCGACCGCCAGCATGGGTGGAGGGGTGAAGAAATCTGAGATGCAGGTCATGTAGACTTCATGGCCAGTCGGCATGTGAGCGAATCAAATGTAATTAAAAAAAGAGACAACATCATGAATATGAAGAAGTAGTGTTGGAAATTGGGCAAAAGCTGTCTCTGGCGATTGGATGGAATTCGCAAGAGGGAGATTAATTCGATTAAGCGAAGCAGGCTTGACTACAGCGAAGTCTAATTTGGGCTCTAAATGATTAAAAGATTCATGAGTATTGCTTTAAAAATCTCTTA